AGCCACTGTGTAACCATGTCTGGTCTCTCACATACACCCCTTTGCAAATGCACTTCTATTGTGACCTACAGATCCTCTGGTTATTCCAGACCTGAGCCTGTAAAAAGCAGGAATGACCACTCTTAACATTGGATGTGGTGGTCTGGTCTATCCAGCTCATTTTATTCCTCCCACCTCTTTATCCATTGAGTGTGCTATGATGCCTGGTGATGGGGATCTCCCTCACTCTGCCACCTCTATGTTCTCATTGCAGAAACAGACAGCGCAAGCTAGGTACGAAGCTCCAGTGACTCAAGACATGGGAACAGAATGCAGGACTTAATGGAGAAGGACAAGATTAGAGACCTGTACAGACCTGGGAGCAGCAAGGAGTCTTCACAGATGGACCAAAGGAACAGGCAGGGACCATACTCAAAGCCTGGAGGCCTTTGCTCTGGCTTTTGCAGCTAGCTGGATGCTCCCTGATGCATGTGGGACCGTGAAGGAGCAGAACCTCATTTATAACACAAATGCACATTGCCAGTTGGAATGTACCATCGTGTCTGAGTCGCGGGAAGGGGAGAAAATACCTGATGGCTTGTTTGGGGGAGGGAGAATCAAAAAAAAAAATCATATTTCTGTGACATTTTTTTGCAGCATGAAATATACACACTATTTATTTATTTTTTTTAATTGAACTATTATTTTCGGGGTGGGTGATGCATTGATTGTGTGTTTGGGAGAAGACAAAACCAAAATTAGGTCTTGCCTAATTTAGGGTTTTGAATTTGTGGGGGAGGTAGGGTGGCTTAGGCAGGAGGGGAAGAGGTATTTCTTTCCTTTCGGCAACAGTTGGGAGAGCAAAATCAATTCCTGCTGCACTTTGTAAGGATATAAAGAAACTACTAAAGATTTGCTTTTAAACACTAGTGACATTCCTGTGCGCAAGCCTGCACGGATACCACTGGGGGCAAGGAGGGGGTTAAAACACAGAGGAAAACCTAAAATATTACGTTTTTTTTTTTTCTCTTCACTGCTGCTCCTGTTGTGTAATTAGCCAGGTTGTTTTACCCGGGCCCTCTTCTTTTTAGGTGTCAATAACTTGGTATACACATTACAACTATCCCTCCACTCCCTCTTCCTTTTGTACTTTTATGACCCAAGAGCTGCTGAGATCTCTACAGTTTCTGTTGCTGAACTTAAGCCAGACTCTGTTATTGATTAAGGACACCATTAAGTTTAAATAACTGCTAGTTAAGGCACAACTCCATGCTTTTAAGGATTACCCCAAAGTCATTAAAAAAAGCTTTTACTGGTATTAAAAGTTTGTATGATCAGTCTCTGCCCTAAACCCGCTTTCGGATAATGAATCTTTCCATTGAGCTTTTCAGCCATCAGTAAACTTTTTATAAAAATAAAGAGGTGATGAGTGCTGATGCCTGGCTTTAGCACTGCATGAATTACTTTTGGAGAGCCCAGTTAGATTCAAACACAGGTTCCTGCTGAAACGAGGCAGTATGTTTTAACCCTGGCAAACATTTCCATGGGTCATGCTGATTTGTTTTGACTTCTGCAGTAGTCAAGACTATTGCAAAAGTCTGCACCGGCTCCCTAGAATGCATAACTCCTAAGGGATCTTTCCCTTACTCTGTAAGGACTTTCATTTCTCCTTCCTTTTTCATTTTGACTGTTTTTCAAGTGATGAACTTCCTTAGTCTGGAGTTCTGGACAGTAAGTTCTGCTGCTAGATGCTTGGGTACCATTCCCCTGTGATAGGATATCTGACAGCCTCTTTGACCCTGCAAGTACTTAGATCCTCTGCAATAGGCTGGTAAATATTTTAAGACGACTGTACTAACAGTGAGTCAGCAGTGCATCCTGAATGTACTCCATGGCTGTGCACAGACTGTTCCATTGCACTTTTTAGCCTGTAATCAAGACATTACAATGAAGTTCAGCAACAAGGTGGAGAGACTCGCGGTACAATTGGCTTGAAGTTTTATAACAGGGGAAGGCCAAGGCAAGTACAGCTACCAAGCTGCGTCAAAGAGGAGGACATTAGCATCTGTCTGATACTGTCACCTGTATAGAGGGATAGTGACTATGCATACCCATCTATGTCTTACTGCATGTTTTACTAGCTTCCATTAAAAAGCTACTGAAGCTTCATAAAAAAACTCATTGGTATGTATTGATGCAAGATGTGATTTTGCTCATATCTGATCATCTCTGTATTTTTCTGCCATCTTAATTTAAAAACAGCATTTTAAAGATTTCATCTGCTCCTCTGGCTGTGTGTGTGTATGTGTGTGTGTGTTAGTGTTAGTTATGAATTGGTTGCTATAGAACCTATTCTACCCTAATCCCAGAATTTGGCCTAGGAAGAGAGAGTCCTTTTATGTCTATCAGGGATGGTCTAGACAGTATTTGGTCCTGCCATGCGGGCAGGGGACTGGACTCGATGACCTCTCGAGGTCCCTTCCAGTCCTAGAATCTATGAATCTATTTTAATGTAGCGATTAAGAATGAAAACCTTTTAACACATACTTGTTCTAAACTGAATATATCTTTCTCTGTAGCAGCAGGTTTTTTTTTTAAACTAAGGATTAGGGGAATTTTAGTCTATTACAATAAATTTCTTGAATTTAGCACTCATTGGAGTGATCTAATATGAACTCTCCACACTGAGATTTCAAGTGCATTTGCACATAAAACAATAGCACTTTTATTTCTCATAAAAGCACTTTGGCTGGGCTAATCTCCCTCTCTTTTTGAGCTGTGGGCTGTGAATTTAATAGGCATTAGCTCAGGCCCATAACCATTTCATTAAAATAGGCCACGGGGGAGGTGAGAGAGAGGGGAAAGGAAGTGCGAGTAGTTAAGTTAGCTAGGTAATAGGGTAGTGTAGTAATGAGTTGGGCACCAGCATGGAATGCAGTACTAATTGGTTCTTTATCTTCTAACCTCCAAATAAATAAAATGTACCACCATTCTTCTCCCTCACTTAAAAAAAAAGGTGGGGGGGGCAGTTGAGTCATTTCCCCAAAGATGAGGAAAAAAATGTAATTGCTTCAAATGTAATTAACACATCCCTCACCTCTTCCAGGGAGCCTGTCATCCTAGAGAAGTGGAAAAGTCACCTTAAAAACTACATTTACTTTATTTTCTAATGATTAACATATTGTGTGGCTATGGCAGTTTGTCTACAGTGATACAGTGCATTAAACCCTACAACTTCATAGCACCAAGCCAGTGCTCTGCAACCTGTGGTTGGGGAGACAGCCCTATGCTTCTCCTCCCAGTTCCTGCCATCTGCTTTCTCTGGCCATTTATACTATGGCACCATAACTATGCTGCTGTAACTCTAGCATAGATTCAGACTACAGCAAGGGAAGGGTTTTTTCCGATTGCCGTAGGAACTCCACCTAAATGACTGATAGGAGCATTCTTCCATTTTCCTAGCTGCGTCTACAGAAGGAGTTAAGTCACCATAGCTACGGTGCTCAGCGCTGTGGATTTTTCATATGTCTGCGTGCTGTAGCTACATTGATGTAAGTTTTAAGTGTAGACTGGGCTTCAGTCTGCTTCTGCTTTCTTTTTCCATCCCCCAGAAAGCTGCACGTTGTTTGACATAGTGATAAATGCCTATAAAGGCCCCTTGTACATTCTTGGCCACGTTGAGCAGCCTAGGATGTGAGAAGAGAAACTTCAGCTAGAAGCTGACAACTTGTCTTAGAGAGGTAGGTAGCCTCCTGCCTTTAGCTAGGTGGATTGAAAAGGAGTAAGGAAGGTAGATGACTACCCTCAGAGAACTACTCCTTGCTTTCCAAGTAGCTGATCTCTTGCTCTGCTCCCTTATCATGGAAGAGGATACATTCCTGTGTGATCTATTGTTCTGTGACTTACAATGAACATCATTTGGTAAAGAATCATCAAACTTATATCTAGAGGATTTTCTGCATAGAATCAACCCTGCTCGCAACATTTATACTTTTATTATTTATGTTGGAAGAACATCATCAATCCTTGCAGGACACTGATTACATTGCCAAAAAAACATTTAATGCATTTAACTGGCAGAGCATGCAAAGTCACTGGCTGTGCCATCAACCACACCTCCAATCCAAGAGTTTAGTTGTACATTATAAATCTACATATTTCCCGAATTATTCAGTAAATCAGTAGTTTCTTCATAAGTTTTACATAGCTTTGAAGATCATGGACACTTCTTGGGCAAGTGACCAGCTAATAAAGGGTAAACAAACCCGGCATTCAAAATAACTGGTCACTGAAAAATAAGTCAAGAAATGATGAGTCGGAGGGACGTCGCCACAGCTTGAAATTGGCAACAGCAAGAGAAAAAACACTTTTTTAAAAGAGAAAACCCTGTAAACAGTTGTAATAAAGCAGCTCCCCTGTTAATCCTGAAGAGAGAATGCACAAGCCGGATAAGAATCTTTTGTGTTTCCCTATGCATGGCACATAAAGACCTCAGTGCCACAGCTGGAGAAATGCCACTGCAAGCCAATGGGATCTCCAGCCTTATATCTGACTTAAGATTAAAATCAGACCCATCCCCTGTGTTTTCCATTAATAGCAGAGTGCACTTCCATCTCATCCTTTTCAGTAGGCACTTGCCTTTGAGTGATTACTTCTCTCTTATTGAAGGGGGGGATGAGAGAGTTCTTAGTTTCTGAAATTACCTTGTAATAATAAGACATGCCAATATGTAGCAATATCGTGGTTGAAGGCACTTGGTCTTTGGCCCCCTGGCCACAGACCACAGTAGGGTAACATCAGTTATCAGCAGGCACTATATTGATTCATTATACACAGGGAGGGAAAAAAAAGTTTACTTTGTCTCTGACTAAAGGAATCTCTTCCAGAATAAAAGCCTCCATAAAAAGTAGTGGTTTTTTTTTTAATCCCAGCAAGACCTTGCCCATTCCAATTCATTCCAGAAGGTTGCAGTCTCTTAAATGGTTATGTAAGTACTCATTACATATAATAAATATTAATACAGATTAAGATTTTGGGTGGCCTTGTAACTTTCAGTCTCGTTCATTGTGGAAGAATTAGATAGCTAGAGCAGGTGTGTTTGTGCTCAGAGCTTTGCGTTACATGCTCCCGTTGCTTTCTAACCATCTCATTCCATTTATAATATTTTTTAAACTTAAATTTTTTTAATGGAGGTTTGTACAATCGTTAGCTGTAAGGTGAGTTTCAGTAAAGCTTTCCCCTCATTTAGTTGCAGGGTGGAATTTGAATTTAAAACAACTGAGAGCAGGTTTGCATCAATTAAAAAGTGAGATGGGGTGAGTAAGTGCTCATAAAAGAGAGGTTTTCAATAATAGTAGGATGAACGTACTTCAAATTGGTCACACCCCTCTACCAAGGCACCTTGATTGGGAATGCTCTCGAGGCCCAACACCAGAAGAGCAGCAATGACCCTACTGGTTGGGTGGCTTTGTGATATGGACAAGTGTTCATGTGATAAAACAGACTACAAACTCAAGCTATTCCTTGGTTCAGCACCCCCACGTCTGGGCTTGCAGAACTACCATTATCTCACTGCAGGAATAGCATCGGTGGGGGCAGACAATGCACCACCTTCTCTAATGGCAGTAGGTCTATGGTTTCACATGCTGCCCTAGGAAAGATATTGGCGGTTTTATATTCCTTTCTTATTGTGTCATAATATTTTTTAAATTGCACATTTATAAATATATAATTCCTTCCTTTCTAAAGGTTCAATCAAACCAACACAGACGTGACTATATTCCACGAAAGAGGGAAATTATAAATCACCATGGGTATAAATAACATTAAGGCAAGAAGAAACCAGGTTCTGCTGAAGAAGCGCTGTCGGATTCCTATGGAAAAGGCGGTTGTTGGGGGCAATGAACAGACATAGTCTATACATCCTAGAGTAGACTCCTGTGCTTTCTTCACTACCTCCCTTATTTTAGAGGAACCACAAGCTTGGTAGGAGTAGATAACATACAGCAAGGGAGAAGTGTCATGCTGCAGCCTTTTTTTCTTCAATTCCAACATACATCACCACCTATGCAGTCTGGAGACATTTTTGGAAACTTGATTAGAAGGGCTCATTAAGTTACTTATGCAGCATCTCCTTAGACTAAAATAAAGGCAGCATAGAAAGCAGTGCATGATATTTCAGTTTGAAAGTAACCAAGGTCAACATGGTTCCCATCTTTTTCCCATTTGAAAGAGAAGGGGCAGAATGAAGAGGACAGGTTCTGCAAACAACATCAAGGTCTAGATCATCCCTCCCTACTACAGAATATATAAGTGCATAAAGTCAAGGCCAGCAGAGCCTGCACAATTAAAAAAAAATCAATTAAAATGCATGTGTTTAGTAGAAGCAACACAAGAAAGCCAAAGAGGCTCAACTTGAAGAGCCTGAAGCTCTGAGATGGAGACCCACCAGCAATCCATCACTTTATGCTTAAAACACACAAAAAAGGCCAGAGGAGGGGAAGTGAGTCCAATTGTAGCAATGGTGTTTCACAGTTGGTGCAGAAAGTGCAGGAAAAGGGAAGACCCAGGTGTTAGAAGGATGGGGAAGGGAACATTCCTAGCTGTGGAAAGCACACAAAGACCAGTCCCCTAGCAAGGTTATGTTAGGAAAACATTTCTAGAAAAGCAGCACAATACATCCTAACAGTACTGGATTTCCTCCGATTTACGGCATTTATCCCCCCACCCCAAAGTTCAATGGCACTAATGACACCACTTTGGGAGGCATAGCATGGCCCAAAAGAGATATTCCCAACCCCTCAAAAGCCTGAGCCAGCAGAAAGATCCAAGTGGCCTCAGACCTACTCAGCCAGGAGAATACTCCCCCTAGTGGATGAAGAGTGAAGGATGGGGTGAAGAATGTGCTTTCTATGTTCTTTCCACTGTAAATTCAATAAAAAGATGTCGCTCCAGTATCCCTTCAAGGGAAGAAAGGTGCACTTTGCACATTGTGGGAAGGATCTCTGTCAGTTCTAGCTTGGAATAAGGCAATGCTTCCTTTCACCTTGTAGTCTGATAGCTGGAGATTACCACTCCATAACTTCTCTGCAGAGAGATGTGTGCCATGAGCCCATCTCCTGCTGCCCAGTTTTTGGAGAGCTGGGAGCTTCTTGTGCACATGGGACAGCTCCTAAAGCTTAGGAGCTGTGAAGCAGGTTCATTTCTTACAATTTTGATTTGGGAGTGGATTGGAGCAGGAGACGCATGTCCAGTAGCGCCTTCTCCAGGTAATGTGCTAGGCGGGCTGCATTGGTTTCAGCACAGCTGTTGTACGCCGACATTGCAAAGTTGATGTGGTCATCCATGGGGTTATAGCAGACTCCATAGCCATCTGGAACCACTGGACCAAAGCACATCACACAATCTGTCTTTGCTGGGACCTGCGATGGGAAACAAAAACAAAAAGAGGCAGAAGATCACAAAAGCTGTTGGGGAGGGTAAATCGAATGGACTACTCCCAACTACCACCCCAGGTAAGTTCTCCAGGGCAGGAGCATGATATTCAGACCCATCTGTTCAGCTCCTAGTACACACTGTGGATGCTTTATAAATAAACCAATTGTTTCTGCTATTCTCCAGCACTGTGCTAGTGCTTCATATCACCCTCTGAAGAGACTTGCGGAGGAGCAGTTATCCACTGAAGTAGACTCATAAGGACAATAAGCCTCATGCAATACTGCTGCTGTTACATTGTGCAGGCAGGGCCTCCTCATTACCACAGGCACTTGGTATCTACCTGGCAATGCAGTGTCCAGCCTGGGGTGAAGAAGATAATCTGTTAGAATGGCTCTAGCAACTGTAAAGTCATAGTCTTCAGATTCACCTCACAACCTCTTTAAAGGTCCAACTCAGTTTGTTGTGGGGCTAGATTCCTATGGCACCTATGCAGAGCAGTTCCTAAAGGAAGGGGGTGGTGGAGGAATGTGGAGAAGAAAGGGAGAAAGAATGATTGCAGCACTCTCATGTTGGTCAGCCACTTCTTACCTGGCTGGTTGAGAGGTTGAAGTGCATGGCAACGGCATAGGCTGTATCCATGAACAGTTCCGGCATGCTCACTAGATCCTCAATGGCTTGAAGCTTCATGCCTAGCAGATGACGGTCTATTGCATTCCCCTTTATTGCCTGAAAGGAAGAGACTCTGGATAAGAGACCGGAGAGGCAGGGAAACAAAAATCAGCACTATCTTCAGTCTGAAACCAGATCTTAAAAATCCTCTTAAATTTAAAGTAGCAAGAAAAAAAAAACCTGTCTGTTAAGAGCAACATTTGACAAACAGATGGAACTAAGCAAACCTGTAACATCTCAGGATGGGATCCCTGTGATTTTAAACCCCCCCTGTGTAACCCTGGCATCTACAGACTCTGGTGATGGGAAGAATAGGAATTCTTC